TATAACAATATAGAGACGGTTTTCTCCTAGAATTTTTGGCCTTCTGATTTGGCTGGGACCTGGATCTAGGAGTATCGTACCGGTGTGTTTCTATTGGACGCGATTAGGACAGCCGCCGGCGAAATAAATTCTACAGTCTGATGTTTGCTCTTCTTGCGTGAATTATACTTGGAAATATCCGTCGGGACGCATATAATTTGGATCTATTTGGATTATTAAGAATTACAAGGAAACATTTGGAATTTAATCGTTTATCATACTAGACTTCCTTGGAGGAAGACGCTGGAACTACTTATCATTAATTTTGAACTGAATTTTGGATTTATTCTATTTTGTATCGTTACCGTCTTTATTGAACTTTATTTATGATGTCAAACCGAAAAAAATCACACGTGAGGAGGGTGGAAGAGCTCGACGGATCACAGGGCTCTAGGCAAGTCGTTGATGATAACCTTTTTATGGGTAACCCACATGTTATGTCTGATATTTATTATTGTAAGTCATCGATAGAGGGTTTAGAATTACCTAAGGTTGAACTTTCATATTTTGATGGAAGGTCTCGCGACTATTTTAAGTTCATACGACAGATAGAGACGTTTATAGAACCTCGAATCAAGGATGATCAAGTGCGTTTATTGTATTTAATTCATTATTGTAAGGGAAAAGCTAAAAATGCGATTGAAGGCTGTCTTATAATGGACCCACAGGCAGGATATAAGAGAGCTAAGGTTATTTTAAAACAGCTTTTTGGACAATCGCATGTAATAGCGCGAGAAACCTTAGAGGACTTATTTAGAACTGGGAATGTAGAATTTAATGATCCTGAATCATTGACGAACTTGGCCATTAAAATGCAGAATGCTTCTTTAACTTTAGAACAGTTAAATTGTACAGCTGAACTTAACTCTATGGCTACTTTAGAACGAATAGTAAGGCTCTTACCTCGTCGAATGCAAGCCCAGTGGGCAGAGCTAGTATTCAAGTGGGACGAAGAGGAGAGAGAGCCCAATTTTAACGAATTGACGGAATTTATTATGTCTCGTGCTAAGATAGCTAGTAGTAGGTTTGGAAGATTAGCTTATCAGGCTAAAACAGGAAATAATACGGAAGCTACTAGTGGTCTGCGTGCGAGACATTCGGATTCTTCGTTTCTACCTAAAGCACGCTCGGAAGATAAGAGATTTGTCAATTATATCACGAAAGCATACCCTGATGAAGGACGAGTACGTGACCGTAACGATGTAAAGCCTCTTGATGCGTGTCCTAGCAAGAAGCCGGTTGGTGTAACAGATAAGATGGCTTTTCTAAGTGTAGAAAAGAAAGAAAAAGGTGAAAAGTGTAGGCATCAAGATGGATCCGAAGTGTGTGATGATAAAAGCCTCTTAGCTGCTCGAAAAGCCTGGAACGGTAATTTGGATTCGAGTAATCAGAGGTTAGTGAGTTCAGCAAATATGAATAAAGCCCAGGCAGGATTGACTGAACGGAATAAAGCTTATTTTCGGAACCCTTCAGTTAGGGTAAATTATATAACTGGACCTAGAGTAGATTCTAGGATAAGTGATGGTGGTACAGTAACGGCTAAGAAGCCTAGGAGACATGATGCTACTATTACTAAGAAGCCTGAACCTCATGCTCTTTCGGATGCTACGACTAGCTATGGAAATAGTAGCCATCAGAACCTCAATAGTGACAGTGATAATAAGAATATAGAAAGTGTCAGCAGTCCACTTATAGGGACTAGTTTATCGACTTCATCGAATGAGCCTCCTAGTGTTTCGACGCCATTGGACCTCGTCACGAAGGTTAAGTTGATTGAAGATGCACAAGGTTGTGCAACTGTAACTGTTCCTCTTACGGTTGACTGTCAGTCGAGTGATGATGAGAAGAAAGTGTTTGATGGTAACAGCCAGTCTACAGTGCTGTGTGATGACGATGCTATTGTTGAGCATATGTCTTGTGCCGCTGAAACGGATGCTAATGCAGAACGGAATCAATTAGACGTTGATAATAAACCGGATGTCACTGATGTGACAAATGAGTTACCGACGATGATGAATACTGTTCAAACCTCCTCTGCAGCAGGAGATGGAAGGATAAATATTGATCCTACGTCATGCTACTTAAGGTCTTCTGGAGACGATGAAATGTCAAAATTGGAGATCCCACCCTTGCATATTATTTATGGGTCAAAAACTTCTGTTGATAAGTTGGCATCACGGACTTCATGGTATCTGCTGATCAGAGCAAGTGGTGGTGGATTGGCGACTCGTCCCCACGATAGAGAATGTAGTCCTTGGATAGGATATGACCAGTTTTGCGACGCGTTGTTCATGTTCGTATGGGTTAATTGGGTAAGGTTTATACTACCGTTAGGCCATTCCACGATAGATAGGGGAATCAAGGGCCTGATGGGAAAGTATAGGTATCTAGTTAGCGCGATAGGTCATATCCATGTTGGATGGCGGGTAGGCGTACTGCTGTAAGTCCTACACGTTATTCCGGTGTGGATTAGGGGATAACATGGGAACCCTAAATGAGGTGTCATTAACGTTTGCTGTTTTTGCATGGAGGGATTTTGCGGGCCGGTGTAGAATTCTTTTTGAATGTTTTGTGTTTTGGAAAATCCCTCCATGTTTACATATTTTTGCTATGACCTGATGGACCTTTTCTCTTGACATTTTGGTATTTTATTTGATTCCAATTTGAGATTTTACCATTGTATGTTGTTATTCTTTCCATATTTTGTACTTATATTGAAGTTTTTGTGTTTGCTTTTGAACTGTACATATATTGTTTAAATTTGATATAATATGGCTACCGCCACATTTTTGGATAGACGCGGTGGCTGCTGGACTTAGTGTCACTTACTAGCTATTGTAATAGATACTCTACGGAGTAATTTAGTCCTGGAAGAAACAAAAACATCGTAAGCCTCTGTATTTCCATTTTATAACAATATAGAGACGGTTTTCTCCTAGAATTTTTGGCCTTCTGATTTGGCTGGGACGTGGATCTAGGAGTATCGTACCGGTGTGTTTCTATTGGACGCGATTAGGACAGCCGCCGGCGAAATAAATTCTACAATCTATGATATACAATATATTGAGTATGCTGACCAATTCCAACTCGAGTATGCAGCCAAAACTTTTCCAACATTGTTGAAATCGGTCTTCAGAGTTTCTCTTATACCAAAAGGAAATAGTCTATGCTTTGAAACGACAGGTTTTCCGTTTACATCAAGGTGCGCTGGCTGAATTTTTGTACCCCTCACAGCCTTCCAGCATTGTAAGACCAAGTAGAATCAGAAAAATTTGTGCATAAAGAGATGAGGACGTTTAGAAGTGGAACTCTATTTAGCCGAGGCACAGACGGGTCACATTAACTTGCTAGCTAAGGACTATTGGCACAACCGCTCTCCTCTTTCTTCACTGGTATGTTAACTGTACCAGTAACTGTAAACTGAGGGCCAGTAATGTCAGAGATTGATGCAATTATAAAGAAACAACAAATAATTGACTCTATTGTGTCACTACCAGAAATAAACGAGTCGAACTTATCTGCGTTACTAATTAGTTTTGTAATGAGTGTAAAGTACTGGTGCAAGCAGTAGAGAGGGATAATTAGTCTAAATCAGTTGGTTTTGGCCCATAATAATTCGTTGCTTTAGCAGTGAATGATTTGTAACTTTAAAAAACTTTCTAAACATATCTAATGTATTAAAGATTCCCAATGTGAAAATTGGAATAACACATATAAGCGAACAATATTGTTTTCTATTAGATCATCATCAGGCTTTGCTCTAATATACTACTGTCGGTTCACCTATCTTCCTACTATCCACTTGTACTTTTGCCTTTTTCATTTCATTGTGACTATCACTCAAATTGCCTTGGTTGGTTTAATATTTTCATATAAATATTCATGTATATTTGAGTAAAGCCTGATGACGATCTAATGGAAAACAATATTGTTCGCTTATATGTGATATCTTATCTACTCACGTTTACGGCGATAAGCAGTGAGAGACTGATCTGAACTACGAAGATACAGTTTACTGAGTGGAAGACAGTGTTTAAAATGCAAACATGAATAAAGTACTTTTAAAATTCTTCACTTATCCCGAGGGTTTGGAAACTTTTTTGTTAGAAGAAATTTCGGATCTCTATAGTATGGTCAATTAATTCACACAACATACATACAAAACACATAACATACAACATCCTGTATTTTTGTTACAACTTCCTGAGGATGGCTACTGACATCTTCATGAGTAAAACGGTAGTCTTTAACTTTCTGAAAAGAGCGAAAAGAAATTTGTGTGAGCTGTTCCTCTAGTTTAGACTCTTTTATTCAAAAAGTCAGGCGATCGAAATCTCACTTAGAAGCTGATACCTGAAGTAGAAGTATGAAAACCCTGATCGTCTAGGCCAGGACATAAGTTAACTAGTTGAGTTGTGTTCATTCACTTACTTAAAATGATACTTCACGGAAACGATCAGTAAGTATTTGAACTGAAAAATAAGTTTGTTAAGATATGCAGGATTCCATAACGAACTATAGGCTTCTCTACCGGTAACAGTTATGAAATAAAATTCGTCCCCCATTTGAAGGCATAGAGTAACAGACTCATTTCGGTCTGGATATTTCGCCTAGAGCCTTCAGTAAGGGTCAGGACAAATGCCGAAGACCTATCAGGCTGATTATTTTGAGTATTTATTCACCTTTACACATATTAATATAGCTGCGTTTTATAAAACAACTTAGGCGGTATCTAAACTCATTGATCATCACTAAATTCTATCTATCCGTTATTTGGTTGTCGTTTTCTATAAATTTACGACTCCCGAACAATGGCGAGTTGAAAAGCGCAAACAAACTGAAAAAGTTACTTTGCTCAACGATGAATTACTTATAGTCCACCTTGTAAAACGTGATTTTGGATGAGTAAACTAATCCCGTCGAACTTTTAGAACAAAGAAATCCAAGACATTTAAACTTGTATTCAATGTAGGATTGGCGCGATTTTCAGGATTTCCGCTCCTAAATCTTTAGTCCGTCTTCCTCAAGAATGGGACGCTAAATAACTGCCCTGTCGCTTGTGGATTTAATAGGGTTACCCCTAAGTTTTCAGGGATTTACACAAGATTGATCAAGGAATAGTAGTCACTTTTCTCCATGAATTCAGAATTTGTTGGTATCAGGAGTGGGGATAGCGGGTCATCTGTTATTATGAAAAATCAACTAAATGACTCTGCACGTTGTGTGTTAAACAGTGCTCTAAGTAAGTTTTATAATTGCCTTTTTGTTATTATTTATCGACCTCAGTGTTTATTTATCTATCTGACGTCGTGTAGCTATAATTGGAAAGTGGCATATCTCATGAAAATAATGGGTTCATGTATATCTAAGCCGTTTAACTCTGTGATAACTGAAGTGATTTTCTTGACGATTTTTCATAGTGTTGGCTTTTTTGATGGGAATTGGTACCTAGTTGTTACAGGGGTGTCTTGGAGATTATCTACGTAATAAAAACATATGATCCAATATGCAATATCTTTTTCACGAGCTAGTATCAACACTTCGATTACTTCGCGCTCGATTCTTGTCCTTTCGGTATGGTTCCAGATGTTTGGTATTATCCAATGAATGGGGTTTTAGCCACTTGACTGTTTAATTCTAGTCAGTTGGCAGTTGGTTGTGAGTTTGTATGTCCCATGATTTAGTTGAGAACGTTTGTTTCAGGACAGTAGGGTTTCTGGATACCAGCAGCTATCACATTACCAGACCGGAGATCAGTTAGTTGCGATGTGGTGAATAATAAGGTTAAAATATGAACAAGATTTCAGAACTAAGGAAATCAATGGATAATTTAGTTTAATAATTGGTAATGAAGATTGTGAGACCCAAAGTGTGAGCAAAGGAGAGGAAACAGAGATAATAGGCGGGATAGATTAAGTACGTGATCTGAGGAGATGTCAATGATAACAACTAGCAGGTCAACCAGTCAGTCAGTTGCAACGTCGGAGTATTATTGAGTCCAGTATTATCGATACTACATTAGTTAGACTTATTCCTCTGTGATTATCGCAAGAAGACTTTTGTCCTTTCTTGTAAATTGGGACAACTAGCCTCTGAGACCAGTCAGATAGGATAACGCCAGTTCCCAGATTCTACCTAAGATCGCAGTCAATGTAGCTGCTGAAACTGGACCACCATCCTTAAAAATCTCAGGGGTCAATCTATCAGGACCCGCTGCTCTCCCTAGCTTCAGATTTTCTAACGCTTTCTCAACTTCATAGAGAGTCGGGGGACTTACGTCGATTTGCCATTCAGGATGACTGGAGGTCGTGGGCAACGGAAGTGTGGCTGAAGGCCAACTGAACTGGTCCCTAAAGTGTTCTGCCTATCGGTCCAATCTCCTGGATTGAGAATGAATTATACAGCCATCGTTTTCTGAGATACTTTCACCAACAGATGGATTTCTAATACTGGTTTCCTTTATAAGGCGAAACAATTGTCTACTGTTGCCTATTGCCGCTGCCTTTTCCATCGCTCTTGCTTTCGCCACCCGCCACTTTTCGCGGTCGTTGCGTAGGCTTTTTATAAGTCTGCGCTTAATCTGATTTCGCTCTTCATCACGTTCAGAGCCAGGTGGGATGTGTTTTCTAGCATCCATCAGTTCGGTAAACGCCACAAAAATCCACGGCTTATCCCTAACCTTACAGTTTACCTTACTAGCAGATATCACTGCTGTTTCCACAGCCTTTTTGATATCATTCCAAGCTCCTCCAGAATGAGATCACTCACATGATTGCCTAACTGTCTTTCTAGTTGCTCATAATATATAATCTTAGCTCTTCTGTCGTTGAGACGACTATAATGGTCGCCAGGTCAAGAGATGCTTTTCCTTATGCCTAAAGTTAGTGTTTGCTAAGAATAGGCGGTTATCTGAGTATAGTTGCAACAGACGGTCACCATTGTCTGTTCTCTGAGCCGCGACACCATAACATCCACCAAGGTGTCTTTCGTTTTCACCCAGTCTACCTACTTGAGCATTAAAGTCACCAGCCACTATAACTATATCAGAGCGCCTAGCTTTTTGGAGGTCCGAAAGCTTTCTGTAAAACTCATCTTTTATATCGTCTGAACTGCAGTCAGTGGGGCATAGGCAGATACGACGAAGAGGCAACGGCGAGTGTCCCTATCTTTCCGAGTCCTTACTGTCCCGTTCAGTCAGACAGCACACAAACGACTATCTACAGGGATCCAGTCTAGGAGAGCTAGTTCTGCCCTAAGACTCAATACTGTACCTACGCCAGAGAGACCCCAGGAAGCAGCATCAGGGCTTCCAAATAGACGAAAAGTAAATCGAGTTGCTTCTTTATTTTGACAAGGTGAAATCAAATTAATGATTTTACTGGGATCCTGCATGCGCGTTTCCGAGACGCAGCATACATCGATTGAGCGAGATTTTAAAGTACTAGCTAGGGAAGCCTGTTGTCGTATTTGACACAATGTCCGTACTTTAAATGCTCCAACGTGTAATTTAGAACGGGGTTTCAGGAGACCAGGATTAGCGTTCCGTGAACTCGCATCGTTTGGATTAACGGTGCAGTGTGGTAAAGGAATGTGAGTAGAATTAGTCGTGGAGATAAGAGAGATATTAGGGGGTGTAGGAAGGATTTGATTATTAACGATTTGGTCTCGCGTGATGTTACGGGTATGAGGGCGGTGGTCACTTCCCGGCCGCCCACACAGTGGAAGGTTGTTTCTTGAGGAACCTGAAAAGGAAGGTAGATTAGTGTTGGTCTTGGAGACCTGAGAGCGTGACCGCATAGCCCAAGGGACAATTGCTTGAGGCCGGTCACGCACGGCCTTTTTATGAGTATTAACAACTAGCATGTCTCAAGATATGCATCACGCACAGCTTGTCCAAGAGGGAGATGATAATCTGTATGTGATTACATGATTATCAAGTCTCTTCTTAAAGCTGTCCACTGAGATAGCTGTGATCACCTCGGCTGGGAGAGCATTCCAAGTTTTAACGACTCTTGATGAGAAAAATTATGCACGAACCTGAGTGTTCACTCTTTGATGCGTAGTGTTTTGAGGATTACCTCGCGAGGAGTGGTGGTGATGCATCGGAAAGATGCTCACGTTGGGATGGTTTGGCGTGCTTAATATGTACGCCATAATCAGATCACCTCTGCTTCTCTTGTGACTCAGAGGGAATAATCCCCTGCTGGAGTCTATCTTCGTAAGGTTTGTTCTTCATCCCTGTCACCCATTTCGTTGCTTGTCTCTGCACTCTTATCCAAGAGAGGAGAGGAAGTATGATGACGTTGTGAACCTCCAAGTGGGGGCGCGCATGTCTTAACGTTAAGCATAATTGTGGGGTGATAGCACTGAGTTATCTTCGCATAAAGTGAAGAGTCGGATTTACCTTGGCTGCGTCCCCTATGTAGTTCGGGCTGGTGTGGAGGCTTTATGTGGTTATTAAACCGTGATCGCGCTCTGAGGAGACATTAGGGAGCGGACTTTCATTGAGGGTGTAGATCGCTTTCGTCATGTGAGGCAGAATATGCATGGCGTGGCACTTCCGTTGGTTGAGTTTTAAACCGTTTTTCACTGCCCATTTCTCAACAGATGTAAGGTCCTTTTGAAGCTCAGTCGAGTCCTCTTCGCCTTTAATGAACCTCCAGATCTTCGCGTCGTCTGCGTAAACCGATGCTGGTGAGCTAACTAAGCCTAACAGGTCGTTAAGAAATATCAGGAAGAGAAGTGGGCCTAAGATGGTCCCCTGTGAAACTCCCGATGTGGATACTCGCCAGCTCGCGTGCACTCTATGTACCTTGGTACGAAACTTTCTTTTCTCAAGGTAGTTTCGGAGCCAAGATAGAAGCGGGTCAGTGAAGCCCATTTCCGCAACCGTTGCGGTTAGGCGTGTGTCGGACACTGTGTCGAAGACTTTTGCAGAGTTGAGAAATATTACGTGCACCGGTATTTTTCTGTCCAAACAGGATATCTAATTGTCCCATGCTGTGAGAAGATTAGGTGCGCACGACCTGCCTTTCCGAAACTAGCGTTGAGCTTCATGGAGTATTTTATTCTTATCCATGTACTCCCTCACTTGTTTGTTCACCAGCCCTTCCATTACCTTTGATAGTATTGGTAGTAATGCAACTGGTCTGTAACAGGCTGAGTTCTTTCTCTCTCCTCCTTTGAAGATTGGAGAGTAGCTTGTTTCCATTCAGCTGGGAGTTGGTGTGACTAGCGAATTCCTGAATTTTCTCATAATTTCCAATGGCTGTGAATTTTTCTTAGTGCTACTATTCACAATAGATTCTCATATTTAGTTTTAAATTAGTGATCGGTTCTTATGTTTAATTTTGTGATTTCCAGATGAGCTTGATGACACTCCTGGTGTACCATCTATGATCAATTGCCCTCAGGAAACCAAGAGAAAAAGCGCTAAATTATCATCCAAGCATCAGAACGTTAGCAAGACAGATGAATTATCTACCCATCCTCAACCTCCATGTTCTGTTCGGTTGATTGATGAAGAGGAACGCGTTCTAGTTAGTACCTTTTTATATCAAGGACTTATTCTTATTACAAAAGTAGTCACTCAGTCTTTTGGCTCTAAACCCTTGCAGTCTATGAATAATTTATTTACTGTTTTTCTATTACTTCATTCCGGTTTACGGGGACAAGTTGGATTTGAAGCGATCGCTTTACCCTGACTGCTGTGTATGACTTTTTGATCGTACTCTTTATTACTATGTCTTAACAATTCGACCTTTTTTCATCGGTAGGTTTAGCAGTACATGTGAGCTATCCCCGATACAACCTCATGGTTTATATTTGTTATATGAATATAAACCATGAGGTTAGAAACTATGTTGATTGGCTTTTAAGCTGGCTAGTGTTACTCATGGTTACTAGTCGTCGTGAACAATATACGGTAATAAAATAAACAGAAATAAAAGGCGATTCTAATTTTAATGTTACTTCAGTCAAATTATCAGTGGACAGTAGTGTGGATCATTTATCAAGTTCAGGTTTACATTCTGTTTTGCGGACTAATGATATTACCCGATGTACGAAACTGAAGTATATAATGAGGCTCGAACCTACGCCTTACTAAAAAATAACTGCTCTAACCACTAAATTAATTTATGACTAGTGTTATTACATGGCTTTCAGTTAGGGTTTAAATTCACAGGCTGGTGATTAGTCCTTGAATCACGCATTATCTGTCTTTGCATATATCAACCTCAATGCTTACGAAAAATAAGACCCTCCTAGTCTGAATAGCATTGGTATTGTGTGTTCAGTTAGGCGATTCAGCCAGTTATTTACGACGTAGCACACGACGTATATGTGCATTGGTTCAGGTCGCTATACCGTATTAGCTCAGCAAATAAATTATCAAGACAAATCCAAGATTCAGTCAGCCAGCAACAACGTAGAACTTGGTGCTTATGTACATCAGTTCAGGTTGCCATACCACAGCACAGATAAAAGGTATTGTCAATTCAAATCCTTTAGTGGTAGAGGTAGTAGCAGTAATAGCGGTAGTCGAAAAGATTAGGGTCCAAAGATATAATTCGGGAAGCATATCTCAGTGAAATAAATTCAAAGACAAGAGTTCGTGAGGAATTCAGGAGATTAGAATTTGAGATAATACGGAGAATGGATCCCTCATATTCGAATCTTCTGAATTCCTCATCACCTCTATCTTTCGCTTTCCGAATTTATCTCACTGAATTATCCTCATTGAATAATTTCTTCGAACCCTCATGTTCTTCGTTACCGCTAATTATTCTACTATCTTTACCACTTAAGGATTTGAACTGGCAATTGTGTCTCTTTGCTGATGTGGTATGGTAACCTGAACTTATGTATGTACTTGCGAAGTTCTACGTTGTAACTGACTGACCACCTACGCCACTGCAAATGATTTTGAGCTATGTCATTCTAAGTTTCTAACTACTGGTTGCGATTGTCTTTCGGACCTCAGTCAGGTAGTCCACACGTACTAACATGGCTTAGTCCAGTTGTTAACGACTTCATGAATTTGTTTGATGTTTTGGTTCGGCCTCCATTAGCTTTTTTCCAGCATACTCCTACATCAGTCAACCTTACTTGTCGAGGTAGTCGGTGGTCGGGCATACGTAACACATGTCCCACCTATCTCAGCTGATGAAGATTTACTACTTGATCTGCCACCCTTACTTAATACCCTTTTCCTAACACCAGCATTACTTGATGGTCCCAGGATAAACGAGCAATGTTTTGAAGACACTAGTGGTCTGATATCAAAAAGCCAAGCGCCTTGATGTGTTAATTGTGACTGATGATTTTAATGCTCAAGTAGATAGATTAAGCAAAACTGAAAGACACCTGGGGGGGGGCTTTATGGTGTTGCAAGTCAAAGGACAGATAATGGCGACCGTCTGTTGCAACTATGCTCAGGTAACCGCCTATTTCTTGCAAATACCATTTTGAAACATAAGAAGAAACATCTTTTGACATGGCAACCCCCGAAATCGACTCAACGCTGGACCCAACTAGAACATATCGCCATCAACCACCGATGGAGAAGCTCAACAGAAGACTGCCGCCCATTCTAGAGAACATATCTAAATTCAGATCATACTCCAGTACGAGCATGTATTTGTCTCTGGGTTACTGGAAGTAAAAAAAGACAGCAAAGAAAAACCCCTTAGAGTTCTACTTAATGATAACAAAGACAGGAGTATATTTCGAGGAACTGGAAAAAGTTAGGCAGCCGTGTAAATGATGCCTATCATGAGGCAGTTCGGAATGATATCCAGAAAGCTTTGGAAACTGCAGTGATATCTGCCAGTAAGTTAAACCAAAAGATTAAGAAAAATCTGTTGTTTTCTGAGTCATCTGAACTGAAAGACGTTCGGAAACTCATCCCTACTGGGTCTGAATACGATGATAAACGGAGACAGCTTAAACGCAGGTTGATAAAAAGTCTACGCAATGGTCACGAACAATGGTGTTCACAGAAAGCAAGAGAGATGTAAAAGGCAGCGGCAATACGTAACAATAGGCAAATGTTCAGACTAATCAAGGAAGGTGCTATTAGGAATCTAACTGTTAACGAGACTCTCTTGGAGAAAGATAAGACTGTAATTCATTCTCAATCTAGGAGATTAGCTTGATGGGCATAACGTTTTGTGGAACAGTTTCACTAGCCTTCAGCCACATTTCAATTATTCACTACCTCCAATCTGAATAACAAGTTGATATAAGCCCTCCAACTGTTTATAAGGCTGAAAAGGCGATTGTCAATCTGAGGCTTTGAAGAGCAAAAGATCCTAATAAATTTACCTCTGGGATTTTTAAGGATGGTGGTTCAGTTTTAGCATTTGCATCGACTGAGATTTTAGGGTTGAATCTGGGAACCGGACATAATCTCATCTGACTGGCCTCAATCCCAGTCCATAAGAAAGACCTAAAGTCCTTGTATGACATTCACAGAGGAATCAGTTAAACTAATATAGTGTCTATGATATTAGCTTCAATAATACTCTGGTGCGTAACTAGAGCTCGCGAAGAGCAGACTCGAGCAAGCCAGGCTGGTTTTAGACCTGGACGTTACTTTGTTGTCCCAATATGTTCTTAAGTCATCGTATCCCAAGATTGTTTTTCATTTTGCTTGGCTATTTTGTAACACGAATTTTTAGTTTGCATATTATGTGAACTACTAGGTCACGGGTCAACTGTGTAAAGGGATAAGTGAAGACTCTGACAAAATGCAGTCTTCTGATTGCCCTAAGCAACAATGCAAACATGTTCGAGATGCGGTATTCCCCCTCAAAATGCAAAATGTTGCTTCAAGATTGGATTGCATCGGCACCTGAACTAATGATAGGGATTGAAGCAGTTGAGCCTGTACACCACTTCACTTATTTCGGGAGTTTCATTAGTGCTGATGGCCTGGTGAATGACAGAAGGCTCGGTTGGCTTTTGCCAGCTTGCATCACCTATGGAGCAGGCAAGATGTCCGTTTGCTAACCAAAGGACGAGTTTACCGCGCAGTAGTACGCTCTGTTCTAATATATGGATGCGAAACATTGCTGGTTAGAGTTGAGGATATTCATAGGTTATTAGTATTCGATTATAGATGTCTTCGAATCATTGCTCATGTATCGTGGGACAACCGAGCGAGCAATGCTACCATTAGGAAACGAGTTCTAGGTAAGTATGGCAGATCAATAGATGAAGTATTGAAACTTCATCAGTTGAGGTGGTTGGGACATGTGTTGCGTATGTCTAACCACCGTCTGCTGCGAGAGCAATGTTTTGTGGTGTAGGAGTAGGTCGGGAGAAAGCTAGTGACGGCCAGACCAAAACATGGCATAAATCTATGGAGTCACTCACAAGTGAACTGGTTGGGGTCCGCAAGATGATAGTAACCGACGGTTAGAGACCTTGAATGACATTTCTGAAAATCGTTTTCAGTGGCGCAGGTGCATCCATTCTTTGTGTTCTCTCAAATCCTAATCTTCTGAATTTGTCATCACCTCTATCTTTCTCTTTCTAAATTTGCTTCACTGATTTACACTTCTTGAATATTATCTTCGGTCCCTAATATTCTCCATTACCGCTAACATTTCTACTATCTCTTCCACTCTGGGATTTGAACTGACAGTTGCGTATCTGTGCTGATGTGGTATAGCAACCTGAACTGATGTACTTATCTACGAAGTTCTACGCTGTAACTGACTGTCTGACTGTATAATGGTATCTTAATTTGTCTAGAGTTATGTTGCAAGTAAGGACAGTAATATGAATTATCCAAGTTTAACCGTCATTCTCGTAACGTACATTTGCGTATACTCGTTATTTCGCATAAGTATATTGTTCTCATAAAAAGTAGCACAATTACGTACCTAATGTCATCCGTTATTTTAGTGTCATAATTTAATCCAACTGGCGATCAATTTTTGCTTTCGGAATGTAATTCTACTTATTACAGCATTATACTATTCTTCCTAGTATGAGTTTGTTCACATTTACATTTCGAATCGCCTAAAATAAACTGTAGGTACGTGATTTATCACATTTATCGCCAGCTATCTAAATTATTATTATTGTGGTTGTAGTTAGGTGAAATTTCTAATCTGGTGTCATGTGAATCGTTTGAAATATTGATTTAATATCATTTATTGGTTCTTAACTCTATAATTTGGTGATTATTTCAGAATGATGTTTTGGTATTTATGGAGATAACATCTGTATTTCTGGAGTGTTTTTCAACAGTGTTTCACGTTTTTAGAGGTTGCATACCGTACTATTAGTGGTCAACTTTGTGCTCATTTTCACTGTCCAGGATCCTTTGATCATATTAAATAAAACAGAATCCAGGTTACCTGTAACCTTCAGTGGTGTTTAATCGAGTGGTGCATTTTTACTTACACACTGTGTTAAGTTTCCGTATTCAACTTGAAGATAAGGTATTTTATCTCAGTTGTAACATTGTCTCCAATTATATTTCGCTACACAGTTTGAATAGTTACTTGACGGATTCGTTTTATAGCTTGGTTTAGCCACTCAAGGGTTTTGCTTCCTAGTCCTTTTCAAGCTAGCACAACATGTGTTGGGTCGGGATTTGATAGATTTACTCTACTTTCCTCAGTAAGATCAAATCAACTCAACGATTCCATATCAGACAAATGTTAGTTCGAAGCCGATAAAAATGACTAATCTTGTTCTCCATCTCGGTAGTTATCATACGGTAGGTTAATTTATTTGGATTCTTCACCTGCTTCGTAAATAAAGTCTAAATCGACCATCTGTTATAAAAGCAAAATAGAAAATAACTTGAATATCCTATTATTAGTGAAATGAAGAGTCGTGTTCAATAGATACAAAGTTTGAAATAAATATTTTTCGGCGATGTTACTTTACAATCATCTTGATGTAAATTTGGTTCGATTATTTCATATCTTAATTAAGAATATTAATCACGTGACTGAAACACCAAATTGTTTGAACAATCAAAATGGTCTGCAAAAGGATTATTTGTGATTATCTTACTCTGAATGACTCATCATATGGTCTAAATAGCAATTTCTAATCACTTTCATGAAAGACCTGGATGTAATTCACTTAACTTTTTTCCCTTTTCTCAAAGTAATCTTAGTCTTTTCAATTGCTGTGGAACTAAGTAACGTTAAAGTCCTTTTCGAGTTGTGACTAGGCGATGGAGCAAGTAGACGCGATTTAAACCTTTTCAGTGTCCAATACCTTTAAAATGTGTATCACTGAACCATCTTTCGTGGTCAAAATTACACTGAGTGCTTTATTTCTTAAGCCACTCTACTTATTAATAATGATTATAGGCAATGGTTATCGGAAATAATTTGTTTACCAATGTTTATGGGTGTCTGGTGATTCATCCAACACTCCTTTCAGTTCCTAATGATACAAATAATCTTCGTCAATGAATTAAACATTTTGCAGAGTAGGTGCTCAGTAGTGATTTTGATCTGTACTATCGTCAATTGTTTTTGCTTCAGGTGGTGCGTTAGTTGTCCGTTGAACAAATTTCAGTCTTGTAGCATTTGGGACTAAATGAAAACTAGTGTTCACTACCCAGAAAGTTCTCTCTGAAGCTTATGTATAGGTATGCTTTAAAGGCATCCGTTTAGTAATTCATTTATGTGAACATATGTACAGTAAATGTTATTTTAACTTTGAATTCTTTTGTTATCTAAATCCTATCATTCCAGTTTGACGATGCAGATGCTTTGGCTTGGCATTTGGGTTGTCCTGCAGATAGAACAGTAAAACTTATCGCTATTGTTGGAAATACAGGTGATGGGAAGTCACATACATTAAATCAGGCATTTTGTGGTGGTGCAGACGTATTCGTCACTTCACCTTCTCAAGCCACATGTACAATTGGAGTATGGGCTGCCTATCTACCTAAAGAGGGTTATCTGCTCATAGATACCGAAGGTAAGTTTTTTATTTTTTGCTCCTTAATGTGAGGAAATCAAATGTATTTATCATTTTAAACGAAACTAGCAAACATTATATCAATCGATGTTTATTCTGTGGGATATAATGTTTTTATTCCATAATTTGTTTGACGACCACGTGATTTCTGTCAGTTGTTTTCCTCTGCAATATAAATACCCACAAAAATACATGTGACTGTAGTGTGGTCTTTTTATTTTACTGCATTTTATGTAACCCAGGAAATTAGATTTTAAGAGCTGAAAGAAAATATCGCTGGAACCGATCCACTCGGTTAATTAAAAAGACGGAGAAGCTTAAGTTAGTGACATAGTATTGTGCTTTATGATGTAAATAGTTTAGCGCCACTTGTCATAACCGGTCTGTCCCAAATATCTAGCACACACCTCAGAAACAAACAGCTTTATTTGTTTTTCCATATCCAGCAACTACCCATTTCACTCAACGTGAGATGTGACTGATTGTTTCGTGAGCTATTTTGGGTAGTGTACTTTTGATCTCGTGACAATCAAAGTGACATTATGTGCTTTCATTGATCGGTTAATTTGTTATGACCATGTGTGAATAGTTCTATGTATTTGACCTTTTTGTTTACTTATGGGAGCGCAAGCATACTGCTTAACAGTCTTCTATAATTACTTTTCCGGTCTGAAGGTCGAAGACGTGCATAGGTTGCTAGTGTTTGATCCTAGGTATCTTCTAAATAGTAATATTGTTAGAATCTGTGTTACACTCTATATCTGTTAGCATAAGAGTGGGTTGAACAAAGGCCAATGATAGCTAAGTAAATAGCATGGGTCAATGAACTTGTTCTCTGTCGATTTAGGAAAAATAAAGATCTTCCAGTTAGTGTCGACAAAGTTATCGTAATCTGTGGTGGAGATACCCTAGGTTATCTAACCGAAAATTAATCACTGTGGTGCAAAGATATGTTTGTGTCTTCCTAGAATTTCGGAATATAGCAGTACTCCGTAGTTTAAATTTCGCAATCTGATCAGTTTCATTTTAACTGTATTATATAAGTTTGATTTTTAAATACTCTTTTGAAAACTATTACATGTTGATATGTTATAAAAATCGTTAATTAAGTTGCAGTTTTTGAAAAATAGACATAATAATGGCACTGCCTGAACATTCTCTATTAGATAGCTAAAGAACGAAATGACTATGTAGGATGAAAGCTTTGACATAACTTTTCTTTTCTTCTAGAATTCTGTTGGATTTTTTTCAAAGTTTAGCTTTTTTAACGGTGTAAGCACTCACCACATTATTGCAAATACAGAACCTCCGTCTTGCTTGCTGATACGCTTCTGTAAATTACGTCTATGCCATCATGCATTTCGGTTACTTTATTAGTATTTTTGGCTAACAATGTCACAGGTAACTTGTGTGCATTAATGTTGTTTTCAATTATTTTAAATGTAGGTTTGCTTGGTGCTAGCCCTAATCCTAATCGACAGAGACGATTATTGTTAAAGGTGTTTGCATTAGCTGATGTTGTCATCTATCGTACTATGTCTGATCGTCTTCACAGTGATATGTTCACTTTCCTTGCGGATGCAAGCGATGCATTTTCAGAACATTTTCGCCCAGATTTGGAAGCACTAGCTGAACGTACTGGTTTGCCATGGACACCTGGTCAACTAGGCCCAGTTGTTGTTGTATTTCAAGAGACGCAACATACCCTCCCGCTTGATGAACCTCACAGTATAGCTTCCGTGAATAATAATGCATGCACTGATCGTTTAGGGTCTGCGGAACCATCTAATGAAAGAATGTCAACTTTAAGTAAGTCCCGAATTTTCATACCAGACAGTCTAATTTTTATCGTTTTCAGTGTTATCCTTTTAAACTGAAATCGGTACTACTCGTTGATGTGCCACTTTCTTAATTTTTTCTATGGTTCAGGGCCCTCAAGTGGCATTATGAGCCCTCACGCCACTCATGACAATGGATCACTTATTCTGTCAACTAACACTTATAGAGAATATGCATATTTATTTTGTGGGACTTCGTATTTCTTTGTCCTATTTTTGTGATTTGTATTCTTTCTTGATTTCATTTTAAATATTTAATTCACTCGACAGTTTGCTTCTGTCAAAAGTACTGTCCTGGCTAAATAACTGTAATCCACTAAATGACTACTCTCTGATAGCTTTCATAGGTCATAGGGTCTAATATAACTGTTCTAAAACCATGCATGTGTTTAAAACTTCAGCTTTAGTGTTATCGCCTTGATGCAGACGATAATGAGAGATGAACAGTACGTCATTTCAGAGATCTGTCTCATAGACTCGAGTGAAGTACTACTATCTTGTTTTCTATCTGTTTGTTCCGCATGTTTTAATTTGAGTTTATCTGTAAGATCTTATGATATTTTTGCTGCTTTTACCTGGGCTTCAATAGTTCACATTACCATCGCTAATAAAAAGTTCGTTTATTCTAGTTTATGAGCTGAACAAGTCACTTCTATCAAACATTCCGGTACTAGCTAAGGACTAGTATGTTTTTGCGGAGTGTCTATAGACACATGTGAGCCATTTCAATGCCCTTTCGGGACTTGTTGGTTGTGGGTGAGATAACTGTGATTTTGTTTTTCGGGTTTTACATACCGAATTCCGAAATGACCGTTTCTACCGTTTTTTTAGATGAAATTGTTATTTCAGTAAGATTGAATTGGTAAATACTTCTTAAGAACTTGTTGCACTTTCTCATAATACCTTTGGTTATATGAATTAAAATTAGTTTTTCATAGTATTTTGTCTTGTCCACATTCCAGCAAACGGGTCTAGTAATTTTTCCATATTTGATATTCATATTTTTTATAAGTTCATAGTTCACTGTCATCAGATATTTCAGTTTTCGGAAAATTTGAGTTCTTAATTACAGTCTTTCTGGAGCCACTCTAGTATGTTGATGGTGTATTTTTGGGTTATCAAAGTACTTCGTTTAATTATACTTACGTAATAAGTCATTCTTATTAATTTAGTAAGAATTTTCGGATTCTTATTTGTTATGTATGATGTTCATAATAGTGCACTTCTTTTTCATAAAATTGCATATATCATCATTGTCAATACCATTATTTTATGAAAAACATAAAATAGGTTCACAGTTTTTAACGGAACGCCTCGTGGCAATGAGACGCAACGCGAATGCATTTTCCTCACTTGTGTATGTTGGAACACAAACTAAAGTACCTCCAACAAATTTTCAGGTAGGCGTTCATAATTACCATAATCTTATTATCATAATCAATGCATTTTCAAGCGGTTTCTTAGTGATCAAAGCACTTAGGTATCCATCAGCTAGTCACAGATTCCATTTCAGTTACATGTGTTAGGTTTTTTCAATCGGCTCATATCAGCGACCTTGAAAAGTATTGTTGCAAGCTGGGTACATAAATATGTACTTGGTTAATTAGTTATATTGATTAAAACAATCTGGATATTAATAGCATCGTTTTCATGACCTCCACTTGCCTGTTTAATCACAGGAGCATGTAGTAAAGATATGGCTTTGTTATCATTCTATACACTGTCAAGAAGTTTTAATTGACAGAAAAATGACCTTCCAGACTTAAGAAATAGTAGAGCAATCAAATAACTTGAATATACCCGAAGCTCTATGTATTCCACAGTTTGATCTCTACTTTCTGATTCATTTCTCCCCTTGCTGTCATGTTAAGAACTGTACGGGATCAAATAAATGATCTGAACAGTAAAGTGCATACCTATCTAGAAAGCTACGTATCGACTATGTTCATCATTTAAAACACGAAAAACATGATATGGGGAACTTTCGTGCATTTTACACGATGACAATACGCCATGGGTCATAGTAACTGTCAAAGAAAATATAACCGTTCAATTGACACATTGGCGTCTTCATCTTGATGATATTTTTATAACAAAGTTAGGTAACCCTGTGATCTTAATATTATGAAACATCATATCCAACAGTTTGGATTGAAGTTTGTATTAGTCGTCGTCATAAATTTTAGTTAGATAGCAATCAACTTAATGTTTCCTGGTCTTTAATGCTTGATCTATTTTAGCAATCCATTTTTCTAAGCTTTCATCGAGCTGGCTATAGTTTACGTTGATTTCGGATAGAAATACTTGATCGGATATTTTAGGAATTTTTGACAAAATGCTAAGTCATGTATGGAGTAAGAAGGAAGCTACTATTATTCCCTTTTAAATTCAGAATTACATTATTTAGCGTCATGCATGTTTTTGAGAGTGGCGATTGAAATTAATATTTGTTTTTGAACTGCAGATTCATCTTGAGCACTATCTAATACGTAGTAATGCGATTGTAGAAAATTCTTCAAAGGGCACTCATTTTCAGTGACATGTGGTCTAAAAGTATTACGTTGCAGAACAATAAACAGATCTTATTGATTTGTTCTTGTAAAGCCTGTAAAAATAGTATAATTTAAACTATTTTCTCAATTTTTTTATAATTAACATGACAAATATTCATGATTGACACTCTAAGTTTATTCTCCTTTTATTTTGTTTAAGCCATTAGGTCCACGTGAATGAAAAGTATTGTTTCATGTGTTTTTCATTGTAAGGTAGTGTGTAGAAATTTCCGTCCCAAAAATTCATGCTTTTTACTGAGAAATCGTCATTTATGAATAGCAGGATACAGAAAATAACTTCACCTGTGTACGACAGTATTATAACTAATCATCATGCATTTATTATCTATTGTGTAATATAAAGCGTTCTCCAGTAAAAGGACAAAGTATGGATTCGGTGTTACGCGCTCGGGAGTTATTTCAGATTCGGCACTAAAATATGTACCAAACTTCACTAACGTTTTTTATGAACTAGTGTTGTAATTTACAATATTCCCACACTAAATTATAGTGTTTTTTTGCCATTGATAGATAAAATAGTAGTATGAATTGCTCTTAGGTTACTAGATTGAAAACAATTATATTCTTATATATAATAGTAAATTAATGTTGTGATTCAAAAGGGTATTCGCGTAACCTGTGGCTTCAAGCAAGTTGCTTATTAAAGTTTGTTTTTGTCTCAGCAAATAGAACAAGAAACCGATGCTTGTAAAAATCTCCATTGCATATTCTTGCAACAAGAGATATGATTTAGTTAAAGCTTTTAAGATGTAACTTCATTCTATGTTACATAAATCGATTTTTGAGATTTATTTATTTTTCCCATCTGATCTTTGTCTTTGTTGCTTTATTTGCTTACTTGTCCATTAATTCATCCCAAGTGGGTGATTACCAAGTTTATTTGTAGTTTTCACTTCTATCCACAGTGTAAACAGTCAAACTTTTAAGCTACGTTTATAAACAACTCGATTGAAGAGTGGGTCATGATAATTTGGCTTCGAACTTGATGAATTTATTGCTGTTAGTTGGGATGGTTGGCAAAATGTTCTCTGTCGGAAAACAGCATATGGAAATTAATGTAATTAGTCAACATAGTACTACTTGCAATTTTTGGCATTTATTTTTTCAAGTAGTGAAATAATATTGCTTTTTAATCGCTGATTCTTTTCCTTAGCCCCTAGCCTCTATGGTTGCTAAAAATATACGTGATATATCTGTCAGAGCTCCACGCAAATTGGTGCATATACTTCATATCCTTCAAGCACTTAACACTCGTTTTTCATCCGACCTTCCTTGTTCGTCACCAACATTCGTTGAGGAGTATTTCACTTGTCCATGCAAATGTCTTAGCTGTGGTGTTAGATGTTGTTTGAGTGTCAACCACATATCAAACAATGTTGGTCATAAAGCCGAATATGTGGATTCCAGTGGCATTAGTGCGACACCATGTCGTTACGATCCAACGCTTCAGAATAAATTATACTTTTGTAAGGTAAGCAAATACTCATTAATCAAATCTTTCTTCTGTATTCTCACGAAGTTTCCATTCCATGGGGAGGTCAGGTGGTTTACTTACTAAAGTATATATATGTAAAGAGTTTTATTTGCTTATTGCTCACAAAAAGAAGTCAGATATTCTGAATATTTCTGTTAGAACTACGTTTTTGTTCATTATGATCTTATCGTGTATATATAAACTGTCTGTCTAGCTTCATTAGTATATATGCACACACACACACGAACTTGTTTTATTTTCATAGCAAATGTATACTCATATACTTTGTAATTAATCGTACGATCAAATTACATCATATGTGCTATCTATCAATGTGATAGTTGCTTACCTTATTACTTGACAAAAATGCAACTCAATCTTTTCCGTATAACATATTCCATTAGTATATTATGGTAGTTCATTGTTATTACAAAGTTGATTGACTTAAAATTAATGCATTATATATATCAGTGAAATATTTGTCGTTATTACTGATGAGGATTGATCATGTAAAATAACAATTTTTTACATATCAGTGATAATAAAGCAGTGGTGGTGTTTGGTTCTCAGTGCTGGATGTTTTGGTTGTGGAGCTTTCATTGTTCTTCTGAACAACATCATCAGCACAAACTTCAGGTAGAAGTGAAACATTCGAATTTCTCCACGTCTGACTTGTAGCTTGTTCTGCTCAGCTCAGAGAACCAAACACCACCACCACAATCATCCACCTGAGCTACAAATCTTCTCCACCATCTTAAGATAATAAAGTAGTTACATTCATTGTCTTTTGGGACTAATGATTTCTTCACTTACTCAAATCTCGTATAAAACATGCGAATATAAATATTGTGAAGAGAAAAGAGTATGGAATACTGAATGCATTTTTCTCTCTTACTTATGATTTATCAAGTAAACAATCATATTATAGAGAAAATGATAGCTGCAAACATCTTTTATTTCTTTTTATTTGATAAATAGTTGAGACATGATAAAATATCATAGTTTGTATGGATTACACAGTTACTGTATGATTAGTAAATTCTCAAGCTTTATTCTTATAGATTCTTTAATTATCTTGAGGAGAATGAAAACAGAAATTAGTGCAGGTTATAATATAAATTCATTTTATTTCACTAGGTTCTCATTAGCTGTTTATAACCTATAATCTAAAATCAATATTACCACAGAAATTGATATTCTTAGAAATAGGAAGTTGGTTAAAGATGATTATATATATTATGATATATTGAAGATTCCAACTAAGTTAATAAGGTCGTAAAAAATTTGTTTCAGATAAATAATGTGTGCGAGGCAAAGTTTCAAAACATAGGACTAGTGACTAAAAATCTGTTAACAAACTTCAGCTTATTGTATAAAAGAATAATCAATAATATGAGTTTTTATCATGTCTCAATTATTTATCAACCACAAAGAAATTAAACTTTCACCAAGAGTAAAACATGTTTGTAGCTACCACAGTAAAATATAGTCATTTATCTGATAAATCTCTGTTAAGAAAGAAAAATTCCAGTGTTAGCCGTCATATGAATTATAATCTTTTCTCTGCTTAATATTTACTTCCGTAGTTCTGTTTGTATACTGAAGTTTATTGTATATTATAGTCTATTCGTTCAGCTTGCCTAAGCGTCTCTTTTAACATCTCAATGTATTCCTCAGTGCAGTTTCACAGGCCTCTGCATAGGCTGTGAATATTTTTTATGGTTTAGATATAGACGTGCGCAGCTGTCACTACTTTGAAAATATCCTGTGTTTGTATTAATTTAATAACTGCAATCAGCTTAAGTTACTTCAATTTGTTGTCGATGCCATCTTTTAGTCATAGATATATTTATTTAAAATATTTCCAGTAAAATCATTTAGCGTGTAGTAAAAGGTCTTCATCCATCATTGCCTTAGTATAGTTAAAAAGATTTTGCTTTTGTTGATGTGAAATTTCATTTTTATATTTTTCCTACTTTACTCAAGTTGTGTTATGCCTACGGTCAACGAACAATGATGGTTCCCAAGAGTGGTGAATCAAATGCTAATGCTTTGTCAGCTGTTGTTAAATATCTTTGGGCTGGTTATGTTTTAGAATGTCCAAGACATGGGACCATCTATCGTAGTCGTGGTTACTGGTCCGGTAACGTGGAGCCAGAAATGAATCCCCAAGTACATTGGGAAATTGTACATGTTTGGCAAGGAGAAAAGTCAATACTTTCGGTAAACCATTATTTCTTATGCAATAATTAATGTAATTTGAGGGAGGTAGTATCTTATATTAATTGAGTCTGATGTTTTTAGAACTATGATATTCAATAGATAAACGAGTATTTGAGACAATACACTGGACGATGAATGTACATTTTGTTAAAACAAAATAAGAAATATATGATCATGGTTATATAATTATTGTTGGATATAGTATTGTTGTAAAACTTATCTTTCATTTATTTTTTGAATTAAGGAGTTGCAGGCTAAAACATTAATCAGCCAACATGCCAATAAATAAAAAATCACTAGTTTTCATTTGCCAGGAATGATTCAAAATAGTATACAAACGCAAATGTGGTTTTTGAGTTACATCAGCTTGGTAAATTACGTTTCAAGGATTTATTCGCATTACACTTTCTGTGACGTAGCTAGCATGTTTTTGGATTTACCAACTGCAAATGTGATTTCATTTGTATTTGGTTAGCAAATAGACTAATTGATGTGGAAGTCAATCTTACTTAGGGCTCGATAGGTACCTAACTGTACATTCTTCTATCCAGATGATTTTATGAAAAAAATACGTATTTAATTATAACCTTTGTTAGATTGTGACTAGTAGTTGAATCTCGTACACATTTCTCTTCCTATCTAGAACTCGTCAGCTGTATTGCGAAGTTATTGTTTACTTCGAGACTCGAACCTAGTACCCTTCGCTTCTAACTCCATCATGTTACCTAGTTAGCTACTGAGTTCAGATTAGTTATTGGGTTTAACAATGGGCTGAATTTGGATTCATTTGTATTGGTTCGAATATTCCGATTGCTGTTATGGACTGCGATTGTTCAGTCTCTTTTGGCATGTACGGATTCTGTGCGCATTGCCTCGATATTACCACTAAGCCTCATAAGCAAAGGGAAAACCAAATAATCAATACAAATAAATCAAGTATTTAATTTTTTGGAAAATAATTAGAATGTTAACAAATTATTTGTTAACTAATGCACTGATATTTCAATAAATGTATATATATATATATATATATATATATATATATATATATGTACGTGAATCATGTTTCATCATTATGTGTATTTTATTCTCAGTTGCTATTAGAAGGCCAAAGAGTAAATATTGAATACTCATTTTTTCATGGTGTTTAAATTAAACTAGTGTACTGTATCTAAATTTACTCTAAATCGTGCTATGCAAGAATGCTCTCAATTCAGGGCGTTAGTTTTCATAAAATCATAGTTTATAAAGATGAACTTTTATATTATTAATGTTTGCATTTATGGTCTGTTTCTATCTGTTTAAGTAAATTAGTTCTTATTAAGGTCAAAAACCTGTTTTGAATTTCACTGGATTGCAAAGTTGTTACATGTATTTGTGTGAGAGGATGTTAGAAATCATTTTGATTTTAACGCTAATTATGCTATTTCTGTTTAATTATGTTTTTAATACCGCCATTGACTCTCTTGTTATTTTAAGAAATACTTCATCCTTTTTTGTTTATCAGGGTACTCATCCAGTTAGTCAGTTATTATTAGATGGATTAACTGTCGTTTCTAGTCAAGTAACTCAATTGGCTGGTCCTCCAGCACGTCGTCTCGGAGATCTTATTGCTGACAGTGTAGCTCCCCGATATTGGCAGCCTAATTCTAGTATTAAAGCCTGTGCTGTTTGTAAGGTTGAATTTCAGAGTTCATCAGATGATTCTGTTTGCAACCGTAATTCACTCGTAAGAGGAAAATCTGATATCGATAAAAAACAACCAGTACTATCTGCTGATGATGATAGTTCTCAGAAAGACAAAATGTTTACTAGCAAAGAAGATTCCATACGTCATCGGTCGTCATCATTTTCTGATTCGCTAAATAAGGAAACAAATCTTACCAAACCAATGAAACCTTTTATTGATGACTTATCAAAACATCATTGTCGAGCTTGTGGTAGAGGTGTTTGTTCCAAGTGTTCGACTGGCCGTTTACCTGTTCCTGACCAAGGATATGGAAGTGATGGTGTACGTGTGTGTGATCAGTAAGTGTTTGTTTTTTGTTCAATGTTAAGTAACTCGGTACATAAAAGCATACACAAACAATAATCATTCAGTCATTTAGTTTCAACCTGCAAAAAAATGTATTCATGTAATCCTGATATCTTCATTCTGTACACTACAATTCCGAAACTCCATTGTTATAACATCAGATGTAGTGATCTTCTACACAGACTTGTTTATCTGTAAAGTGTATGATATATGACGATATGTAATTTTTATAATATAATATGCTGAAGTATTTACTTTGAATGTTAGTTATATCATGAGCTGAGTGAGACAACTAGATTGTGTAGCATGTACATGTAATCTGATTGAATGATTCGGTTATTGTATTAGCTTATTGGTCTTTATGCAATACTCTCTGGTTAAGATTAAGTTAGAAAATAGTGATAGCCACTTGACGAAGCTTTTAACAGTTGTTCAAGATTGTATGAGCTGAGAGGTTTGGTTTACTTGTTTCAGGTATTCAGTTCAATACTTATTTGTGCTCAGAGACTATGTGTGTGATAACTATTAATCTATAATATAAATGCAATACACTCATCTTTCTCCGAATTTGTAATTTTTTATTATCCATCATTTATTATTCCTCTTTAATTTATAGTTTACTTGCGTTTCTCCTTCGTTTATTGTCATATGTACATTTTTGAAATGTTTGTGTGGCTTTCATGTTGATATTTTCGTTAAACATTCTGCTTGATATAAAACTTCATCTGTTAACTTGACAACTGCGCACGGAAAAATGATATGCAACTTTATTATTGTTTAATGAATTTCCATAAACCAGTGATAAGCGGAAACATATTCGTTAGAATATGACAAATCTGCTGTAAAACCAATGAGAAATGTAACATTTTAAAATAAAATATTTTTGAATGTAATCCCATTCATTGAAATGCATTTTTCATTTGGAATTCGGAATTACATATACATTAGACTTTTGTGTCCGATTACTCAATATGTCAATATATATTAATCGTTTCTAATGCTTACAATATTGTAAACTTTTTATTTGTCTCACATATAATAACTCTAATCTCCAAGAATTCAATTATCTGTATATTTTGTTTAACCAGTTACATATATGTATTCTGAATTCTTTATTCAGCTGCTATGAATCCCGATCACAAGATAAAGGTATCGATCCAAAGACCCGTTTATCTGGAATGAATTATAATTCTCAAATCAGTAACAACTCTTTAACTGGCCGAAAAGTGATTGAAATGTTGTCTGCTACAGCTGATTACATTGCACCAATATATACTGGACCTAAAGGTATTCTTTACATATTGTTATTGCTTTCCATAGAATTAATAATTAATTGTTTAAACACCTGTCTAACTCGGTTGTTATACTATAATTACAGAGTTCTAAGTTTTCTTAATTTAATGAATCTGCACAATACTGACATCTTTTGATCAACTATAAAAGTGCAAATATTTTTAACAACTGATCTTTTAATTACTGCCCGAACGTAGCTGCTTCCTTGGTGTGGTGGTCGGGCTTTCCTATCGTGATTACCCAACCGAGCTATATTGGCTGGAACACATGTTCCCTTAGGTTCTGCCATGCCAGACAGGTTGATCGGAGAACGATGAGACTAAAAGCAACAACTTAAGGTCTGAGGGCGAATTCGTGCTGCTGACTATAGAGGGGTGTGAGAGCAGTAAGATGTTTCCCTCGGACAACCATCATCTGCAGCGATGCTTCCTCATAAGTAAGGAAGGCGTTAGAAAAGATCAACCCTAAAAATGTCACACCTCACCCTACCTCACGGATTTCCATCTTCGGCTGTAAGACCTTAAGCAAGAGCGGAGCTAGCACTTCAAAAATTTCCATAAAAGGCCGTGCGTGACTGGCCTCAAGCAGTTGTCTCTTGGACACGCTCCCAGGTTCCTAAGACCCAACAGTAATCTAACTTCCTTTCCAGGTTGCTCGAAATAAGCCTTCCTCGGTGTAGGTAACTGGGAAGCGATATCCGCCCTGATACCCGTAAGCAACGAAGTTGGTCACAATCAAATCCTCCCTACATTCCCTAGCATATCTATCTCCACGATTCATCCTTCTCATATCCCTAGCACCGTTATTACAAACAATCCGAGTACACCAGACGTTATTCCTTGTCTTCTGAAACCCCATCATAAATTGCATATTGGAGCTGGCCTCGCTGGTGTAGGTATAGCATTGAGTGTTAGAACAGAACTAGCTCTCTTAGACTGGATTCCAATAGATAGTCGCTTGTGCGCTGTTCGAATAAACGGAACGGTACGAACTCATTAAGATAGAGACAATCGCCGTTGCCGCTTCATTGTGCCTGCCTACGCTCCCATTGACTGCAGTTCATGTGATGTAAGAGACGAGTTTTACAGAAAGCTTATGAACCTCCTCCAAAACGTTAGGCGCTGTGATCTATTAATAGTGACTCTTGACTTCAATGCACAAGTAGGAAGACTAATTGAAAGGGAAAAACATGGCTCAAAATCGTTTGCAATAGCGCCTGTGCATCCACTCTTTGTGTTCTCTGAAATCCTAGTTTTCTGGATTCGTCAACACCTCTACCTTTGTCTTTCTAAACTTATCTCACTGAATTATACTTGAATAATATCTTCGAACCCCATCCTTTTCCATATTCGCTAATACTTCTACTATGTTTACTTCTATGGTGTTTGAACTGACAGTTGTGACTCTGTGCTAATGCTGCAGTATGGCAACTTTAACTGATGTACTTACGTATGAAGTTCTACCTTGTAACTGAATGACTCTTAATTGCTCTTTGGCTTTGAGACTGTTCTTATTTCTTCATTTTATTTATTGTTATGGGGAAACAGACATATATGATCACTATTTCTTGTGTGTTATAAATTAACTTTTAAACTTAAGAAAAGTGTCGTCTCCGTTTATTTCTGAAGAGTCTTTTAATTGTTTTCTTAGATCTAATTTAAAGATTTATTTAATTACGGTTAGTTTTCTCCATGAAGTCATATACATTCTAATAATTTTTAAATGGAAGATGTATATCGAATCATTTCATATTCTTGTCATCGTTAGAAATGTTTGAAAGCTAGTCAAGCATATGATTACGGTTAGATAAAATTGTAGAAATTCCTGTAATGTTTAAATCAAGCTTCACCTATGAACTTAAAAAATCAAACAACTCTGTAACCCAACTAAACGTTTATTTATTTACCTAAGAAGTACGCTATCAACATCCTTAGATTTAGTGAAGTTGTATTCTAATGTGCAATCGAATAGTTGGTAGTCAGTTCTTTCAATCACTAATACACTCTTCCATCTTTAAACTTATTCTGAAACTCCACCTATGTTATCAAATGGAATGTTGTAAAATGTCCTGTCAAACAGTATGTAAAAAAATTGCCAACCTGCTTTACAACTATTTATTATCATGTAAAAACAACACTAGAATATACTTCTGAGAAGCTTTTGAAAATAATTGTTTATTACAACAGTTATGAATCTTAATGCTTGTGTTGTGTACAACGACTACATCAATATTGATGTATATTTTAACAAAACATGTGGCTCAATAATAGATATTTGGCATATTAAACCACAGTGTAAGTGATAGTACACATGGTCACATGTGTACTATTTCCTTTCTGAGTCAATAAAATTAATGATTGATATTGAAAATCTTTTTTTTATGGTGTAACAAAGTACATTATTTGTAATGTGCACTTGTTATTTTTGAGGATATAAGTTTCGCATCTACATTCTTTTGTTATCTGCCTACACAAACCTAAAAATACATGTATGTGATTTTGTCAATTTACTCATATCTTACACAGACTACATTTATTGCGACTTTTCAAATTCAGTTAATTTGAAGCTATATTTGATTGATTCCTGAACTTTTGTTTCTCTTATTTCGCTACACAGAACTCGTCAAATCACTTGCTCGGCCAGATTATTGGCAACCTGATGATCAATGTGTTTCATGTAATGTATGCTGCGCTCCATTTGGTTCACGTTTAAGTATTCATCATTGTCGTTCTTGCGGTCAGGGTGTTTGTGGATTTTGTTCACGCCATTATCAACCTGTGCCTAAAAGAGGTCTTGATTTCCCTTCACGAGTATGCGATCGCTGTTATCAACCAAATCAGGAAAGTCCTCATCGTCCCACTGTATCTGAGCGTCGAAGCTTGGATTCACCCAGTGACATGCAGAATCAGCCAATGCAACAACAGAAGCGGAACGCTCAAGTGATTCAATATAACCGTTCTAATGTAAACACTGTTAATAAAAGGAATTCCCAGAATTAATTTCGTATTCCACATGTTTTATCTGTGAGGTGTAGTTTATTAAATGAGTTTATTTTTTAGCACACTAATAATCAGAGACGCTTTTACATAACTAGATAGTTTCGTATCGCAATAATATTGATGAATTAACCTGGTAACAAGAGGGAATATGACCATTTTATATAACGGTCTGTAAAAATGGTCATTATTATTCTATCTTATTCGTTACTGCTACCACAGTGATGATGCTAACGAACAGCTACTCAGATTTGTAATTTAATTTTTATTATTTCGAATAATATATCAACTTTAATTTATTGACAATTATTTATTTCATCATTTTCCTCTATAATTGCTTATCTATCATTATCTTTGTTGCTTTGTTGGTTTGTGTATGTGTGTACTGCACACATTATCATTTTCACAATTTCATTTTTGGTTACCATTTTACTTTTTGAACACTTTTGTTTCATGATCTTTATTTGACGGGATATATACTAAAGACAAGACTTTATTTTTTACATGATTCTGGCTATTTTTCCATGATATACATTTCTTTGTTTGTAAACCTATGAATGTTGAATACTGAATAGAAAGTTGAAGATTTATGCTGTCCAGTGATATATATATATATATTCTGATTTGAATTATTTACGTTTAAATGGGTGAAAATAGTTAGATTGTTCATAAGAGTTGGTTGAATCGGAATATTTCACTTACCTTGTTATTTATTACTTTTATTTTTATTACAATGTTACTATAAAACTAACTATACACTTACTGAACATATTGTTTTCATAATGCATAATGCCCTTTAATCATTAAGTTACTTCTTCATTTTTCTGTCATGATTATTATTATTATTGTTATTATCATTATCGCTGTCACTACTATCATAGTCATCTCCATAAAAAAAATTTACAGTTACTTATTTTTTTAACTAAATATTGTTTTCTTTTTACCAAGATATTTATTGTGTTATACTTTGTTATTTATTGTTTACATGTTTCAATTCTCACTATTCAATATATATGGTAAGTTTTTGCTGTCAATATATTTTTTTTTCTACATATAGACATACAAAATGAAGTGAACTTGTCTGCTTGTATGTTATTTACATGGGGTAGTGTTTGAAGGTGAACACTTGGAAATATTGAATTTGTGGTTAGGTCACTCAATTCATGGCTTTTATTTTCTTTGATTTGGCGTTGATACATATTATTGTTATTCTTCTCATAGTGTAGCTCAAGGCTGGGCATATGGACATGTACCCGGTGATTAAGTCAGAGATCACCCTCTATTTGTATCTAAATTCTTGTAGTGGCGCTGTATAATTGTTTCATTTTGTTTGAAGCAATCAATTGTTGACATTCATATTTATCTTGAGCATTGTACTTTTCAAACGTCCAGTATTGCGATATTAGAATCAGTATATCTAGATTGAATGATTGGTACTTTGAAATTTAATCTAGTAGTAGTTTGTAGCAGTGCAATTTGTGTCTTTGAACTTGGCGTTTTTCTAATGGTACATTGATCCAGGTAAATTAAGAATTCTAAATGTCGTTCTTTCCAGATGAAAGATTTATTTATTTAGAACTTATTTTAATCGGAGAGTTCTCAACGGGATTTTGTAATTAAGAGATTATTGATCAGTGAGATAATTTTTTCTCATTGAATTGCTGTCTCATTTTCACTTATTTAGGAATTTTAAGTGTATTGGATTCAGCCTCCACCAAATATTAGAACACCGCTACGCTTATCGCACGCAGGTCACACAATCGTTAATTTTAGAGCTACCTTCGATTCGTTGGATAGGACTGTTCTCTCCGATCGTATTTTGAAGAAGGGTGTGCCTGAAAAGGTTATTAGTATCCTGAAGGCCCTATACACAAATAATTCAGGCAGAGTGAGTGCACACGATCGCCTCTCTCCATTGTTCTACTGAAACGGTGGGGTAATACAGTGTTGCCTAATCTCCACATTCCTCTTTAATTGTGACATCAGGGATGTTCTGTAAACAGCTCTGATGGATGTAGGTAATGATGGTATGGATGTGTTACCTGAAGAAAGACTTCTCTACCTTGACTAAAGAGATGATATTGTCTTTCTGTACGAAGGTTCCCAAGCTACGCAATCTGCTCTTTAGCAGTTGGCAATCAGTGTCCATAGGTATGGCTCGTGCTTTTACATAACTGGCAGGACTCTGTAATCGCATTTACTCTTCGTACTGAGCAGATTGGAGTAGTCGAGGGGTCCACGTACTTGGGTAGCGACCTAAGTACTGGTAGTGGCTTGAGTGATGAGATAAAATCACGTGTAGTGAAATCCTGAGCGACTTATGACAATCTGGACCCTCCTTGGAGCTTTCGTTATATTAGTCTGGCTATAAAAGATAGGTGCTACAATGCATCGGTGAGAGCTGTTCTAATGAGTTTCGTTGATCATTATTTTAATACCTATTTATTTCAGTTTCAACCTACTCCCTATGTTCAATCGGTGATGAGAAAATTTATTATTCCGATCATTACCTTACTATTCATCTCTGCTTTTTGCTTATTGTATTTAGTTACGGAATTCCTTTTATGATTGACTCATAAATTACCCTGATTAGCTAAATTTTCGCATATTTATTGAAATGAGATTTAAGTGAGGTCTAATACAGATCTAATCGCAGAAATTGTGTACTTATACGTGTTTCGATTTTCAAACTAAAACCGTATAAGCTAATTACCTTTTTTGGTTTTCCTGTGGGAATCAATCATGAAATGCAATCTTCGTTTACTTTATGCAAATATATTCTGAATTATGCTTAATAGTCCTCATGTGAATAACTGACTGCTACAGTCAAATTAGTAAGAATAAACCTGTCTTCGTAGTGATATCCCCGATAAGCCGCGCTCCTTGATAATTATCTATCAGAGTGATGAATGTTTCGTTGTTGTGGATGTTATCAATTATAAACCGTTAGTTTTTTCCATATACAAACATCACTCGTATTACATTAACTTTTGAACTATAATAAAATACTACTAATCCAATGATTCGAACTAAAAATGAATCCTTATTTTCACTTTTGCTAATACAGATCACATTATTTTCAACGAATGCTGTATTTGGCGTGTTTTAATTTTTCAGCTTTATTTTTGTCTCAATGTATAAACTACTACTGAACGTAATAGTAGTTAAGTGGTATCTACCCATTATTTTCCGTCTTTTAAATACTTGTTTCGATTACGTCAGTTGTATATTGGACCTAGGTGCTTGAAAATACTTCTATTCCGAAAACAGTTACAGAATGAATAAAAATTGACAAAGGTAAATAAATTAATGCTAGAAGAATTGAACGATATATTTGACATATTTAAGGCTAAATTGTTTAAAAAGGTCTGATAAATTTATTGTTTTATCACAAGGATTATAACAATGTGAAGTGGGACAAATACAGTAACGTTACAGAGTAATGCTAGTCGTCTGAGACTAGAGAATTGATAACGTAAACGAAGCATGGGGCAAAGATATCAAAAATCGTTGCAATATATCTGCCATCACGCTTGTGCTAGGTTGTTCTCCGACCTGATTTGGATAGACTTTACTGATAGAGTTAACCAAGGATATCGTCATTGTAAAATGAATACAATAAAATGAGTTTATAAAGTATGCTCAATGATGAGAATGCTCAAGCGCTTAATATACTCACAAATTCATTTTTATTATGAGATAAAATCATTTTTTTTTAACATGTACAAAACAGGTTCAGAGGAGAATATCATGAAGACGTTATTGTTATAATGTCAGTCGCATTACTACACTTATTGTTCAATGAAAATCATTTTGTTTTCTTATATTTCCTGGCATTTTCAGTGTCGATAATCCATTGTGACCAAAGATAATTTGGCTATTTTTCAAAAACGTGCCGGATATCATGATAATTTTTTAGCAAGTTCATTTATGAGTGGCGTGATTATTGTTGTGTTCAATTCGAGATAAATTTTGTGGTACTACAAAGCTCGTTACTAGATAGTAAACAGGCATCTAATCTTGAGTAGTGATTAAACTATATCGGTTAAATTTTCTATGTGTTAAGCAAGCTGAGAAGTATGACATCACGAACGATTTTTAATGTTATGTAATTTGAGATTTTCAAGTAATATTTTTCAAATAATCTTCATTTGAAGCTTTTGTTAATTTTTGTAATATTTTTGAAAGCTAAAATTATCAGGTGAAGAAATACTATACTTGAAGTATGAACTTAATTATCGATCAAAATTCATCGTTTTGAGAATTCATATCACATATGAAAAGATTTTCGTTTCATTAAAGGAGACTAGTTGGACCATTAGTCAGTTATAACGTAGAACTTCGTGCGTACGTACGTACATAAATTCAGGTTGCCATACCACATTAGCACAGAGTCGCATTTGTCAATTCAAATCGCAGAGTGGTAGATAGTAGCAGCATTGACGGTTATGCAGAAGATTAGGGTTCGAAGCTATTATTCAAGAAGTATAATTCAGTGAGATAGCTTTAGCATGAGAAAAAGGTGATGAGGAATTAAGATAATCAGAACATTCTAGAGCACAAAGAGTGGATACACGTGCGCCATAGCAAACCGTTTTGAGCCTTGTCATTCAGGGTGTCTAACCATCGGTTACTATCATCTCATGGACCTCAACCAGGGTCTTCATGGATTTGTGCCGTGTTTTGGTTTGGCCGCCCCTCGCTTTCTTCCGACCTACTTGTTATTTGGACATAGATGGATTAAAGCATGACTGCGTTAGCTGCGTGCTGATTTGCTAAATCTAATCTGATCAGCGCTAGTTGATACGTGGAGTACATTCCAGAAGCTTCTCATGTAAAAACTACAAAAATACTAACGTTGTTCCTATTTCGCCTTCGCTTCGGCTTCATACTTCCATTTAGCGTTGCTATTTGTAATATAATCTTTTTCCTGTTCAACCGTGTTATGATTTGGGGACTTTTCGAGTGTATTGTTGTCAGAGAATCCTAAGCAATAGAAATAGCTGGGTTTACATAAGAGAGATTTATAACACTACTCCTGCACTACAAAACATTGCTCGCCGAAGCAGTCAGTAGGTAGGCATTCATAACACATGTCCCAACCACTCCAACTGGTGAAGTTTCAATGCTTCATCTATTGATCTGCCAACCCTACCTAGTACTCGTTTTGGTCGCAAGTTAATCTTGAAGCAACATTTTCAATTTCGAGGGGTAGAATCGCATCCTGAAGATGCTTGCATTGTTGCTTAGGGTAGTCAGGAGACTGCATTTTGTCAGCCTCTTCACCAAGTAGGACTAAGTCACCGACATATTCTAGGTCAACAAGCAAGTCTCCTGGTAAAAGGTCTACTCCTGAAAATTCAGGCTAAGATAATGTTATATCTGGAAGCAAGTCTATGACAAAATTAAACAGGAATGGATAAAGTGGACATCCCTGACGGACACCACTTGAAGTAAAGAATTCCGATGAGAGTTTTCCATAAGCTCTAACTCAACAAGTATTGTTCGAGTAGAGAGTTTGTGTAGGGATCATATTATTCGATGGTACTCCTTTTAACGACATATTGCTACAGAACCTCACGAGCAACAGAGCCGAAAGCAGCTTTAATGTTCAGAAATAATACTATTGTGGGGCTTCTGAAGTTCGTGTTTGCCAGAAATATGCGGTTATCTGAGCATAGTTTCATCAGAAGGTCGCCATTATCTATTTGATCAGCCCGAGGTCAGACAAATGACGCTACTCGTATCCGGTATGCACGTTTCAGAGACGCAGCACAAATCTATGGCGCGAAATTCTAATACGGGGTGATAAGAAGAAGAAGAGTTAGTCGTGGAGATAAGAGAGAGATGTCGAGAAGTGTAGAAAGTATTTGGCTGTGACCAATTTGGTCTCGTGCTTTTACGGGTATGAGGGCTGATGCCACTTCCCTGCTGCCCACTCCATGGAAAGCTACTTTTTGAGAAACCCTAAAAAGAAATTAGATTGGTGTTGGTCCTAGAGACCTAGGAGCGTGACCAAAGAGCACAACGGACAACTGCTTGATGCAAGTCACTTACAGCCTTTTTATGAGAAGTTTTTGAAGTGTTAGCCTCGCCGTTGCTTAAAAGGCCTTACCCCTGGAGACGGAAATTGGTGATGTAAGGTGAGGTGTGACATTTTTAGGGTTGACCTTTTCTAACTCTTCCTTGTGAGAAGGAAGCATGACTGCAGATGCTGGTTGTCCGAGGGAAACACCTTACTGCTCTCACACCTCTCCACATTCAGCAGTACGACTTTGCCTTCAGACCTTGAGTAGCTGTTTTTAGTCTCATCGTTCTCCAATCGACCTGCCTGGCATGGTACAACCTACAGGAACATGTGCTCCAGCGAATATAGCTCAGTTGGGTAATCGCGATAGGCAAACCTGTCCACCACGCCAAAGTCGCAGCTACGGTCGGGAGCGTTAAGAAGACAACTATCGATCAAACTAAACAGATTTAGCTTCTTATTATTTTGAAATCTAAAAATAAAGAAGTGGTGATC